TGAAAAATAGAATAAAATGATTTGTTTTATGGTGAATATTGATTTAATTAATTATGTGGGTGTGGTTTACATTTTCCTTTTCTTCTGACAGTACCAGTGGCTCTTGAGTGCAGCACCACGTCCTAATTGAGAGGTCATGAGACCCAGTCACCTAACGGAGTGAAGAGATTATTAATAGAATACCATATACCGGTTTATTTTCATGGTAAAATATTTTCACGAATTTCACAGTTTGTGATCAGTTGTAAAAAATTTTCACTGCAAAATTCTGCTCTCTATTGTCACGTGTGCAGTCTGCAAGCAATTCGCGAAAATTAATTCCACAAAATTATAGAAATGCAAGATTTTTAAAAATTTCCACCGCGAAAATAAACCAGCTAGTATACAGTATTCCATTTTCTGATACATATACATGTTCTTATGTTGCGTAGAAAGTTTGAACTGATTCCAATCAAGTTTAAATTTTTACAAACTTTTAAAATAGCTCAAAATTGGACTAAAGTCCCTGTACTATAATACAGGGACTTTAGTTCGCCAAAATTAAAAAGAAGAGATTCTCCATTTTCATTACATTTTCTGATACATATTAATGTCCTTATACTGTGTAGAAAGTTTGAGCTGATTCTGACAAAAAAATTTCAAGTTATGGCCATTTTAAGAAATCGGCCAATTTTTGAAAAATACCCAAGGCTATAGCCCATGGTTTTTTCAAGAAATGGCTCCGAAATGACCCCAAATTTTATTACATTTCCTGATATATATGTACATGCAGTCACTTACTGCAGTGTTTCCATCATTAGATACAACTAGTGACCATATCTCAGACTGATGGCCCTACAAGAAACAATAAAAAAATTAATAAACAATTAATTAATTAATCATTAACTTTAAGTGTCTGTATCAGTTCAAAGTTATCACAGTCCCATTGTTTCAGTGTCCTGTCCTTACTGATGGAGAAACACAAGTGAGTACCAGGGACAAACTAATAATAATAACAATAATAATGAATATTAATAAACTACACCCACATAATGAGTTATTTTTAAAAGTTCATTCACACTTAACGTAATGTTAATTTAGCTTTCTCATTAAATCCAGACAGTTTTAAAAGTTAAAATGACTACCTTCACGTCCATGATACTGTCAGTGTGTCCAAATATTGACTTGTGACAATCACCAAAATCAGTTCCCCAAATACGAATATTCTTATCAGCAGAACCAGTCACCAGTAGACTACTGTCCTGCAGAGGGAATACAAGAACTGTATATACAGATATCTCAGTCCTCAGGTATTACATTACTTATACACACACACACCTCCAGACAGGCTGGACTACATGTACATGTACGGACTAGCCTCAGAGGCGTATTTAGGGGGGGGGCTGAGGGGGCTTGAGCACCCCCCTCAGGGCTGGGCTCAGAAAAAATTATTGAAGTCCTGGACTCTTGCATCACTACCAAGCCTCTTAACAAAGTTATCTAGCCCCCTGATCATGATTTCAGCAGTTTCCAGTGCTTTAAGGAGCAATCAGAAGTACCAGTAACATAGCAGTATGCTTGAAATGATCTTGGCCCCACCCGTAATTGACGAAAATGCAGGAAAAGGCCGTTTTACTGCCGTAAAAGTGGGTGTGGCCAAAATCTCGGCACGCTTCGCGTGCCCTCAGCACCCTGCTTCCCTAATTCCTAGATACGCCCCTGTAGCCTCTATATAATGGACACTTTGAAAGTGTCTCTGTTATACAGAGGTGTCCTTTATGTGGAGGTTATTTTATACAGTAAGGAATGTAATTGGTACACTAGGTGCTGTCCGTTAAATAGAGGTGTACGCTATAGAGAGTGTCCATTAAGAGAGGCTATACTGTGTAGTTACCGTATAGCTAGAAATTTCTGTGGCCCAAAATTTTTGCGAATTTTGTGAATTTGAACAAAATCGCAAAAATTAAATCCTCAAAAATAGATAAATTAAAGGTGTGGCTCGCCACGCCTTTTCTCAGTGTAATAATTATAGTGATTAGTGAAGCACATGGCGTGTTCTTGGCACTATTCCAGTGCAATTTCCAGTCAAAGAGTAAAATAATCCTATCTTGCCTAATATCCTGATAGAGCTTTGTGTCATCATCAGCTATAGTTCTGGTAAGTAGTGAAGAGCAGCCATTGATCAGTAGTGTGATCAAGTGGATTTGCAAAAATAAAATCCGCAAAAGCCATTTTTTGGCAATTTGCAGAAATTTTGGGCCACAGAAATTTCTAGCTATACGTTAATTAATTAATTAACTTACACTTGATATGTCCATTCCAAGTACGGGTAGTTTATGACCATATAAGGAGAGATAAAACTATAAATAGTAACATTACGTCATCATAAATAATTCTATAAATAGAGGACACTTACTTTTAGTGAATCAGCAAAGAACAGCTTCACAGTTGAATCCAGTAATGATAGAGCAAGGAACTTATCGTTAGGACTGTGGGCGGAGACTTAATAACTAGCCACACCCACCAACCCTCACCTGTATTTGAGGCAGAGGACGTCTTCTGACATTTTTAATGTTTTAACATGAACAGCACTGAGCCTCTTCCTATTGATTAATAAAATAAAAAATAAACAGTGCTGATTAGGTAAAGACTGCAAAAATTATTATCATTATTACAGCGAGAAAAATTGGCAGATTAATTAAATTAATATGTTGCTCAAAGCATGAAAGTAACCAAAGATTAACTGAAATACCTGGTGTATGGGGACTTAATATATCAGAATAATATAGGGCAATAGACAGTATAAAATGAAACTAATAAATGATAATGTCAATTACTAAGAATGAGCACTATTAAAACTGATGATACTACTACTTTTATAAAAATAATAATGATAAGAATGATAGTCATCTACAAGCACAGTAGAAGCATAAAGGTAGAAGTTTTATATAACTGTAGCTTCCAGTGTATCCAAACTCCAAAGTGCCCAACACCATCAGATTCTGAAAATGGATCTACATGTAATAGCAGCTGCATTAACCAACATGATGCCAGGGAGTAAAGTAATCACAAAGAATGATCCACTCTACTCAACACCATAGGCGGCGGCAGGGTTGGGCATGGACGGGCAATGCCCGACAAAAAATTTTGGCTGGAAATGAAAATTTAATTAATGACATCATTTTTAGTCATGAATAATTACCATGGCTAGCAAGAGACAGTCTTTTCTGCTTTCCTTTGTCAATAATCCTTCCAGGAGGACCAGGACTAGCATTTTACAGGTTGGATAGAGCTTTACAGATGAGATAGGGGGCCTTTTAGGCTCATTTTTATGCTATATCATATTGTATGAGTGCGTTGAGTATACGCCCAAAATACGTGGGGGGGGAGTGGGTTAGTCTCGCGTAGCCAGACCACACCCTCCGTGCCTACGGGTGGGTCTGGCAAATTGACCATACTCCGCCCGTTCTGGTTCACCCAAAAATGGGTGAAGTGGATGCATCAAGTGAATGCTTGCTTCTTTCTGGCAGAGCTCAAGAGCAGGACCTAAAAGGCTTCTTTTACTTGATAGATATGGTGATCTTTCGGAAGAGAGCTTTGGTAGTCCTTTAATTGGCATAGATCAAGCGGGCCGTGAGAAGGAGAAGATGTATAATTTGTCACAGCTGTTCCTCTAGCTTTTTGTCACTTAAGAAGAAGGTAGTAGAAGAGAAGAGTCAAGAGTTACTGTATCAATTCACCTGTTTCTGGGTTAAGTAGAGCAAAAAAATTTGGTTCACCCATTTTTGGGTGAACCAGAACGAGCGGAGTATGGTCAATTTGCCAGACCCACCCACGGGCATAGATATACTACACAGACCGGGATTGGAAACTTCCCCGTTTTAATTTTATTCCGTGTATGATCCGTGTTATCGTTACTATGGTTATTGTTTAATGTTTATTAAAAGTTATTAAAGTTATTAAGCGCAAAATGGCCACCTGTAGTACACCAGAGAGAAGCGAAGCTATGGAGCGCCAAACAACAAGTTCTCCAGCAGTATTAATGGTACTGGAAGCTATAGACTTGGTATTATCAGACGAAGGCTTTAAATTACCTACATCATCTGCAAAAGATGCGATGGCTTTGGCTAAAAGGATGGAGCTGTGGATGAAAGATGGCCAAGATATACATAATGATTCTACTGTGACAGAGTTCTCCAGTGATCTTATTGCCAAACTTAAGGGTTGCCTTCCAGCACATATTACTGCTAAAAAAAGCAAGTTGGTACGTG